TCTACCACTTGAGCCACAGCGCCACTCCGGCTTTTTTCTTTTTTCTTATGTGGTGTGAGCGCATGCAAGGCAAGCGCTCTACCACTGAGCCATCTTCCCAGCCCCGCTCTCACTTTTTTGAGCCACCATCTTGCTATTCAGGCTTTGAATATACATATACACATAATATGTATATATATTTATATATATTTGTATATATCCATATACATATATGTGTGTGCATTACACAACTTTTGGTGTCTCCAGGTGTTCTTGGCTTGTAGGCATATCACTCCAGTCTCAGCCTCTGTGTGGCATCTAGTCCTTATACAGACACATGTCTTTGGGTATGAGGGCCTAATAAAATTCAGGTTAACCTCATCTCAAGATCCTAGGTATTTGTCTATGTGTGTGAGGGTTTCACTGTAGAGCCCAGGCTAGCCTCTTGTGTGTTTTTGTGTATGTTGGGATACTGGGGTTAGGACTCAAGGCCTCCACCACTCAAGCTCTTGAGCTATGTCCTAGCCCTATTGGTTCAAACCTTTTGTTGTTGTTGTTCCTGGGACTTGAACCCAGGGCTTAGGTGTTGTCCCTGAGTTCTTTTGCCCAAGGCTAGCACTCTACCACTTTGAACCACAGCTCCATTTCCAGTTTTCTGGGGGTTGACTGAAGAGACTCACAGACTTTCCTGCCCAGGCTGGCTTTGAACTGCAATCTTCAGATCTCAGCCTCCTGAGTAAATAGGATTACAAAGGTTAGTCACTGGTGCCCACCCTCTTTTTCTTTTTTTGTGGGTCAGGGGGCACTGTGCTCAGCACTTCAGCTCAAGGCTAGTGCTCTACCACTTGAGCCACAGCACCACTTCTGGTTTTCTGGTGGTTTACTGGGATAAGAGTCTCACAGACTTTGCTGCCTGGGTTGGCTTTGAATTATGATCCTCAGATCTCAGCCCCCTGTATAGCTAGGATTACAGGCGTGAGCCACCTGCATCTGGCTCTTTTTCTTATTTTTGAGATAGGGTCTTGTGCTTGTTTGTATGTGCTTTTTAAAAAATATAATAGTTTATTTTATTTTTGAAGTAGCCTACATTTGTAATATGAAGGGGGTACATTGTGATATTTCTACACGTGCACACAGTGAACTTTGAACAAATTCACCCATCATATTAATCATCTTCCTATTGGTCCCCTGGGTCTTGTGCTTTTTGCCTGGATGGCCTCAGACTGCAATTCTCCTTCCAGAGCAGCTGGGATTATAGGCATGCACTCCTGGACCCCTAAATGCACATGATTTCTATATAATTCTATATATATATGATTTCTATAATGAGGCTTGGCCCTCCAGGTAGGGTGCACCCTCTCCTAGATCCCAGCTTCAGAGGATGGTGGCCCCAGCTGCAGAAGGAATATGGTTCCCTCACTCCAGTCCCAGATCCAAGCATGAGGGGCACAGGACAGGATATAACTTAAGTAGTCAGGGCAGCTGGGAACATTCTAGTGACCCCAAGCCACTTGAGTGACTCCAGTGCCACTAACTCAGGCTGATCTTCCTGCTCTGCTTCCTCTTGGATTTGGGGCACACCTTGGCCAGGTAAGCCACCCCTTCTAAGCCATAGAATGACTATTGTGAAAGCCCAAAAATCCAAGCTGTGAGACCCCAAAAGGATTGGGGTTTGGAATGCCTTCTCCCAATGTACTCTCGTAATGCTGAGAGTTTTCCTGGAAAGTTCAATCAGTCCTGGCTTAAGGGAAACTCAGATTTTACCTTAAACTGTGTGGGAACCTAAGGGTAGACTTAGGTTTATGCAAATTGTAGACTGTTGACTGTTTAGCTCTCCTTCCCAGAATAAGGTCACTTACCACTTGTATACAAAATATTGTCACAAGTTAGTACCTTACTTCCTTGAACAAGACCAATAAAAACTTTGGTTAATGGAACCTTTGATTTGTTGCCTGTGGAAGACCACGGGTCCCCTAGTACCCCAAACCTCAGTTGCATGGTCTGGTCTGTTACTGCGTTGCTCCCGGTTGCAGCTGATTAAGGAGCTCAGAACTCTTCTGTGGTTTCCACTGTCCACAGAACACCTAAATTATTATTAACTCCTCCACCACCACCTCCTCTTCCTCCTCCTCCTCCTCTTCCTCCTCGTCTTCTTCTTTTTCTTTTTGCAGGATCTGGGGCTGGAAGACAGGGCCTGGGCGCTGTCCTTGAGCCTCTTGGTGCTCAAGCCTAGCACTCTACCACTTGAGCCACAGTGCCACTTCTGGCTTTGAGTAGTTTATTGGACATAAGAGTCTCATGGGGGACTGGGAAGGTGGCTCAGTGGTAGAGCACTTGCCTTGCATGCGTGAGCCCCTGGGTTCGATTCCTCAGCACCACATAAGAAAAAAAGCCGGAAGTGGTGCTGTGGCTCAAGTGGTAGAGTGCTCGCCTTGAGCTGAAGAGCTGAGGGGCAGCGCCCAGGCCCAGAGTTCAGGCCCCAAAACTGGCCCCCCCCCCAAAAAAAAAAAAAAAAAGAAAGTAAGAGTCTCATGGGGACTTTTTGGCCTGGTCTAGCTTTGAACTGTGATCCTCAGATCTCAGCCTCCTGAGTAGCTAGGATTATAGGCTTGAGCCACCAGCGCCAGGCAGAACATCTAAACTTCTAACCATGTCCGATAGGGACTGACTTGGAAAGAGACTGACTTGGACAGGCTGCATGGACCCTCACTTGCCAGGGCAGCTTCAGTTCCGCCTTCCCCCTTCATTCCTGTCTCCATTCTGCCTCCCTTTGAAGTCCAGCCCTGGCGATCCCAGGGTGTCCCATGGGCCCTGACCCTCACACGCCCCTTACCCCTGTTGTCGCTCTATTTCCTACATCTCTTCCACCTCTGGGTCTCTATTTCAAAGACACCTGCCTGCAGGTCTCAGCCTGGGTGGCCACCCTATTCCTAGCTTTTACTTAACTTTCTGATCTCCCTTTCACCTAAATTTGACTGGCTCCTCCCCTGCTCAAAGTTCCCCGGTTTTCCTAGAACAAAAATCCCAGTTCAGCTGGGCGTCAGTGGCTCACGCCTGTAATTCTAGCTACTCAGGAGGCTGAGATCTGAGGATCAAGGTTCAAAGCCAACCCTGGCAGGAAAGTCAGTGAGACTCTTATCTCCAATAAACCACTGGAAAACCAGAAGTGGCGCTGTGGTTCAAGTGGTAGAGTGCTCGCCTTGAGCTGAAGAGCTGAGGGACAGTGCCCAGGCCCAGAGTTCAAGCCCCACGACCGACTGAAAAAAAAAAAATCCCAGTTCCTCCTCATTGGCTTTCAGGGCCTTGAGTGAGCTTCCCTCAGTAACCTCTTTCACCTTTTTGTTTTTTTTTTTAAACACCCCAAGCCTTATTGAATATCTTTCAGTTCCTTGAACTGAAACCACATATTCATCACTAAATCACTGTGGCTTCTCCTGCGCAGCACAGCTTCCTTTGAACCCTTCCACACTTTGGTATCCCGCTCAGCATATATACCACCTCCTCCAGGAAGCCTTCCCTGATCTCCCAGGGAAGCCACTACAGGCATCTCTCTGGAGTCCCACAGCCCTCTGTGCCTTCCCATCCCTTCTCCAAGCCCAGAGCTATCTCTGGGCTGTCACTGAAATGAAGGAAGGTTGGTGATGGCCCCTGGGCACCCTCCAATATGGAGACCAGGAGGGGGAGTAGAAGGAAGACTCTGAAGGTAGCGTGAAGATCGTGGGGGTGGAGTGACTGCTGTGGAAGAGGGGATGACACCACGGGAATGGAATGACAAGTGCAAGTGGGGTGGGGGTGGGGAGCAATGGCAGTCAGCTGACAAAGGGAGTAGAGGAGATTGGATGGGGGAGGGGGATGTGCACAGCTAATTACCATAATGGTCTAAATGTCGCAGCAAACCAGGCATGACACCAGGACACAGATGTGTCCGCAATTGCCACACGCCTCCCCTGACGTGGATGTCCTCCTGTGCAATTTACACACGAGGAATCTGGGGTTGGGATTGAATTAGATGTTCAATGTTTAGGGAAGGGCTGAGATTCTAGGTGCACCTCAGGTAACGGCTCCAGAATGGAGTTATGATGGGAGAAGGCGAAGCCCAACACAAGGATTATAAATGATGGACACACGGAAGGAAGGAAAATGACTATAAGGCTGGGTATCTTCTGATGGAGAAAACGGTGCAGGAAGCACTGACATGACTGTTGCAGCACGGGGAGGGGCAGGGAAAAAAGGAAGGACATAAGAGGGCAATGACCATAGCCAGGGATGAGATGCTCACGGTCACCTGTAGCCTCAGCACCCTGGAGGCTGAGGCTGGAGGATCGGGAGTTTGAGGCTTAGCAGGGACTTCAGAGCGAGACCTGGTCTCAAACAAACAAATCGGGGGAGAGATGGGAACAGGAAAGGGGGCGGTGGGGGAAGAGAAAGATTTAGAAGTGAGGGCTTCACGAAGCAGAAATGGCAGCGAAAGAGGAGAGAGGCGGGAGGCTGGAGGCGATGACGATTCAAAGAGGGGGCGATTGCACACCTAAAGGCAATGAGGGCTTAAGAGGAACGCAGGCGAATTTAAAAGGTTGATGACGACAGAAGGAAGGTGATGCTCACAGGAGAGTACTGACGATGGGCGACGGAAGGGATGGAGGACAACATAAGGGGGATGCATTGCAAACGAGGGGGTAACTCAAGGGTGGCCAGTGAAGTGTCGTACCCCTAGATCGCACAGTACCTGTACTCCGCGTCGGCCGCTCAGGACCCAGCCAGCACGCAAGCAACCTTCGAGGCCGGAGCCCCGCCTCTCCAGCCCACCTGTGCGCCTGCGCATTCCAACTCCGGCCGCGAAGGGGCGGGGCCCATGTCTGCGCCCTTCTCATTGGCCGCTTCTCCTCAGCTAGCGCGCGGGGGCGTCGAAGCAGTCACGTGATGCCCTCTCGCTGGTTGTGGCGGACCGGAAGGCTAGAGCGTCCGTGGTAGCTAGCTCAGAGTGACTTCGGTGCGGGGCGGAACTTCCGGGGCGGGAGGAGGGAAAAGGGTTATCTGACAGTTGGTACGGTCTGGAGGGCGGGCGGCGCGTGTCGGTGCTACCGGGCCGGGTGAGCTAGATAAGGCGTGAACCGGGAGAGGAGGGACTGGGCTGGGTGGGATGCGGGATGGAGGGCGTCCGGGGCTCCATAATCACAATCCAGGCTCGGAGCGCTTTCTTTCTTTCTTTGCGCCTTAGTTTCCTTCTCTGGAAAATGGGGCGGGGGGGGGGGGGAGGGAGGTGGTCAAAATCCGACGGTAGCCCTCGCTTTGTGGTGACCACTTCGTCACTAGTCGTTTACCATTGGCCTTGAGGCGCGGGAAGGCTCCTTGGGTTTTCAGGCCGGTGGATTTGAGTTCAAGTTACAGCCCCGCTGTGTGGCAGCGGGCCCGTGCCTTTCCCTCTCTGAGCCTGTTTCCCCGCCTTTGCTGGGAGGGCTGATGGTCCCAGTAGCACAGATTCATTGGGTGGATTCTGAGATTTCTTCTTAAGCATAGTAAGAGATAGATCCGGGACTATAATAAAAATATTTTTTTCCAGGGTCTGGTAGCTCACGCCTAGCTACCCAGGATGCTGATATCTGAGGGTCGTGATTTGAGGCCACCTCTGGCAGGAAAGTCTATAAGACTCTGATTTCCAATTAGCCACCAAAAAGCCGGAAGCAGAGCTGTGGGTCAAGTGGTAGAGCATTGGCCTTGATTAAAAAAACAAGAAAAAAGAAAGCTCAGGGACATTGTCAGGCCCTCAGTTTAAGTCCCCAAACCAGCATACCATTGCAGGCAGGCGGGCATGCGGGCGTGCACACACACACACACCACACACAGAGTTCTGAAAGTCAAGGGTATACCTAAAAATCCCCCAAAAAAGTAACAGGGAAGAAGCTCAGAGATGGCCATAGGAGACATAAAACTGGTCCTGGGGCAAAGTGACTTCCTGCTTGGCCACATTTGTGGGGTCCTGTAAGTATAGTTTTGTTTTTTTTCTTCTTCCTTGAAGATGACTGGTTCATATTCATCAATTGGACAAGGAAAAAGTGCTTTGCCATCCTAATGGAAAACTTAACTTTGCTTTCCATAAGAAAAAGGAAAACTTAACCTGAAATATAATGGAAATAAAATAGTCCAATTATAGGCAGTCAATGAAAGGTAATTGAGAAACAGATGATTAATACTATTTGGTGATATGTTGTCAGATCCCATGGACCCCATGAAGTGGTGGTGGGGGCAGTGTATGTGCATGAATGCATACGTGTGCTGGTGTTATGGCTTGAACTCATGGCCTGAGTGCTGTCCCTGAGCTTTTCTACTCCAGGCTATTGCTCTACCACTTGAGCCACACCTCCTCTTCTGGCCTTTTGCAGGTTAATTGAGCTAAGCATCTCGTGGACTTTTTCTGCCCAAGCTGGCTTTGAGCTGTGATACTCAAAGCTCAGCCTCCTGAGTAGTTTAGGATTACAATGAGCTACCAGTGGTCAGCTCAAGATTTATTAATTAAGTACATACTTACCACTTGCTGAATATTGCTCTAAGGGCTTTAAGATTATTCCCCTACCTTTTTTGGGGGACAGAGTCTTCTCATATGGAACCCAGGCTGGTCTTGAACTTGAGATCTTGCTGTTTATTTTATCCTAGTGCTGGATTATAGTCATGTGCCACCATACCTGGCACTCATATTTTAAAGAATAATCTTAATTATTTTTACTATATAGTTGAAGGAGATGAGTTCCAAGAAATTTAAGCCACTTGCTCAGAGCAAGGGTTAGGAGGTGTTAAATCAGTCAGAATTTGGATTAGTGCTAGTAGTTGGTAAATTACTATTAATTTGGAAAATGGTAATTAAATGAGTAGGGATCTGACCTTTTATTTTATTTTTTACCAGGCCTGGGGCTTGAGCAAAGGGCCTAGGCACTGGCTTTGAGCTGCTTTTGCTCAAGGCTAGCACTCTACCACTTGAGTCACAGGGTACTTCCAGCCTTTTCTGTTTATGTGATACTGAGGAATTGAACCCAGGGCTTCATGCATGCAAGGCAAGCACTCTATCACTAAGCCACATTCTCAGCCTGGAGATGGGCTTTTAAGATGGTAGAGGAAATTGTGCATGGTAACACATACCTGTAATTCTAGCACTTGGGTAGCAGAGTCAGGGTCATGAGTTCCAAACCAGACTGGCTTCCATAGTGAGACCTGTATCAAACAAAAACAAAATGATAGGGAGAGGAAATTGAGTCCAGTGAAGACTTCTATCAGAGTGGGGGGGGGGGGAACAGGAAGATTTTGGCAATGATTACTTGAGGCCTTCCAAAGGCAAACCACAGTCCCTAGCTCTCCATCAGTCAGGTGCTAGTGGCTCACACCTGTAATCCTAGCTACTCAGGAGGCTGCAATCTGAGAATCACAATTGGAAGCCAACCCCAGGCAGAAAAGACTCTTATCTCCAATTAACCACTCAAAAATCAGAAGTGGCATTATGGCTTAAGTATACTAGCCTTGAGCTCAAAGAGGCTCAGGGACAGTGCTCAGGCCCTGAGTTCAAGCCCCACAACTGACAACAACAACAACAAAAGTCTCTTCATCAGCTTTAACCATAGCCATTGGATTGACTTGTGTTCAAGTCCTGCCCCTATTGTTACTTGCTTTATTATGTTGGGCCTATCACCCACTTTTATATACATGGGGCTTGGACTCAGGGCCTGGGTGCTGTCCCTGAGCTTCCTTTGCTCAAGCTAGCACTCTTCTACTTGTGTCACAGCACCATTTCTGGCTTTTTCTATGTATTTTGTTCAAGATAAGAGTCTCATGGACTTTCCTGCCTGGGCTGGCTTTGAACCCGATTCTCAGATCTCAGCCTCCTGAGTAACTAGGATTACAGGCGTGAGCCACCAGTGCCTAGTTCATCTATTTTTAAGTTTTGTGTTGTTTTCCTGTTTTGCTCATTTTTTGCTTTTTTTCTCTTCCCCCTCTTCCCCCTCAGGTTCTTTGTGAGAAGTCACTGAGATGTATGTACTCAGTTCCTGGCACATAGTAAACACTCGAAAGGATCTGCTCCATGGGCTTCTGGATCAGGAAGAACTTGTTTTTTAATCCCAGTAAGGTCAGTTGCATGATGTGACCTTTGGCAAATGACTGGTCCTTACTGAGTCAGATTTTTTCAATTGATGAAAACAGAGCTAATTATAGTCTTTGCTCATGAGGCCACTGTAAGACATGTGTCGAGTGTTCAGCTCTATCCTGGTGTGACTAAGTTAATACAGCAAGACCCTGGCTCAGTAACACATACAAAACTGGGAGACAGGGAAGGAAGGGAGCTTTCATCGTTCACACAGCCTGGTCTCAGTTCCTTTAGACATAGAAACTAATCTAACCTTCATTGCAAACCTCTAAGGTGAGTGACATTCATATCACCCCACTTTTCAGAGGGAGACACTGAGGCCAGACTGGCAAAGTAACTTGCCAAGACCATACTGTAGTAAGCAACAGAGGCCCTTCCATCTGGTTCCAGAGCCTTTACACTTAACCATTATGCCATCAAAATAGGTTAGGGAGCTGTGCATCAGAAACTCCCACCTGTCAGCTACTCAGGAGGCTGAGGATCACAGTTCAAAGCCAGCCTGGGCAGGGAAGTCCATGAGACTTGTCTCCAATTAATTACCCCAAAAGCCAAAAGTAGAGCTGTGGCTAAAGTGGTAGAACACCAGTCTTGAGTGAAAGAGCTAAGGGACTAAGTCCAGGCCCTGAGTTTAAGCCCTGTGACCAGCAAAAAAATAAAATAAAAAAGGCAAGAGAGTGGGGCTGTCTAGAGTGCCTGGCAGAGGGGAGGGACAGCCTGGCCAGGTAGGAAGGAGCCAGGGTAAAAGGAGTTGGAGGGGAAGGACAGGGCAGTGTGGCCAAGTGGTCCTGGAGGCTGATGGCATCGCATCGCATCATTGCTTTGAGTGTTGCCGTTCTTCTCATCATGCTTTTAAATGAAACTTGGTCGTTCACTCGCCTCCAGCTACACAGGCTCCTTGCTGTCTCTCAGATGAGCTCCTGGCTCCGGGCACTGCACTCACTGTACCTTCTGGAACACTGCTTCTCCATCAAACCACCCTGCTGCTCCTCTCCCCTCCAACAGTCTCCAGGGGTCACTTTCGGGCTTTTTTAATCACCGTGTTGAAAATTGCAACCTCTCTTCCCAAAGCCATCCTGCCAGCTTTTAACACTGCAGTGTTTGCCATTTGCTTGTTTTCTGTCTGCCTTCTCCACTCACCTGCCCCTCACCTGCAGGCTGGGCTCCATAGTATGGTCCCCTTGGGGGTCTCTGAGTGCTCTTACATAGTATTATGCTCAGGTGGTCTTTTTTTTTTTTTTTTTTTTTGGTCGGTTGTGGGGCTTGAACTCTGAGCCTGGTCACTGTCCCTCAGCTCTAAAGCTTAAGGCAAGCGCTCTACCACTTGAGCCACAGCACCACTTCTGGTTTTCTGGTGGTTCATTGGAGAGAAGAGTCGCAGACTTTCCTGCCCAGGCTGACTTGGAATCATGATCCTCAGATCTCAGCCTCCTGAGTGGCTAGGACAAACAGGCGTGAGGCACTGGCAACCTGGGCTAGGAGGTCTTGTTTGGCTGGCTGGCTGAGTATACCTGGTAGGTATTTAGGGCAGAAGGTATCCCTTTCCTGTCCCCTGTTCCAGCCGGACCCCTTGGGGTGTTTGGGACTGAAGCTGTGCCTCATCACAGGCAGAAAAGATAGTCATAGCCGCTCTGCCCCAGGCCAACTCCTGCCAGCTGCTCCAGGCTATTCTTGGTTGATGACCCCCTAGCCCAGGAATGCTCTTGTGCAGGCAGACAGACAGACAGGCACCGGGAGAGGGAGAACACACTCACAACCCCAGCGACTCATGGTCTCTCTCCTTTCTTCCTCTGTTCCAGGCTCCAGGGAGCGGGGTCAGGGCCAGGGAGAGGATGGTGTCGGTTACTATGGGTGAGTCTAGCCTTCCCTGTGGGGTCCTCTCTCCCCACTAGCCTTCCTGAGGTCCGCCCTTGTTGGTGGGGGAGGGAGAGCCAGGTCTCTGTCAGAGCAGCTGTGTTGTGATGACGAAGGTAGGGGTGGGGCTAGGGCCTTGCGCCAGGCAACCTCTGCCTGCCCCTTCTCCATGTCTGTGCTCCTGGCTGCCTAGCTTGACCATGAAGAACTTGGAGTTCCACCTGGCCAGTCAGCTTTGCTTTCCTTTCCTCAGCTGTGAAATGGAGATAATAATTCTGTGTGTTGGGTTTGAAGTGGTTAAGCATGTAAAGTCTTGGGCATAGCTCTCAACCGATATTAACTTGGTATTGTTATGTGACTTACCCTCAGATTCTTCCTTGTTATCTATATCTATTTGTCTGTCTATTTATCTATCTATCTGTCTAGCTAGCTAGCTAGCCAGCTAATTGTACTACTTGGGATTGAACCCAGGGATTTTTTTTTTTTTTTTTTTTAATTTTAATCGGTCATGGGGCTTGAACTCTGGGCCTGGGCGCTGTCCCTCAGCTCTTCAGCTCGAGGCGAGTGCTCTACCATTTGAGCCACAGCGCCACTTCCAGTTTTCTAGTGGTTTATTTGAGACAAGAGTCTCACAGACTTTCCTTGCCTGGGCTGGCTTTGAACTGTGATCCTCAGATCTCAGCCTCCTGAGTAGCTAGGATTACAGGCATGAGCCACCGGCACCCCGCTGGGATTCTTTCTTCAGGGCTGATGAAGGGCTCTGGTCCTATGCATGTCCTCAAAGATGAGCTTTGGCTGGCTGTCCAAAAATCTCCTTGGGAGAGATGTGGCCCACAGATCTGCCCCTGAGCCTTCTATGCCACCCATGCAGTAGCTGATCCCTCATGTCTTTCACAAATATTTTTTTTGGGAGGGGGGGGTTTGGGTCCAGTCGTGGGCCTGAACTCTGGGCCTCGGTGCTGTCCCTCAGCTCTTCAGCTCAAGGCTAGTGCTGTACAACTTGAGCCATAGTGCCACTTGTGGCTTTTTTTCCCCTGCTTATGTGGTGCTGAGGAATTGAACCCAGGACCTCATGCATGCAAGGCAAGCGCTCTACCAATGAGCCACCTTCCCAGCCCATCCCTCATGTCTTGTGCTCCACTCTGTACCTCAGTTGTCTTATAAGTAATACAGATTTCTAATTCGCTAAAATAGTATAAGCTGGGCATGGTAGTGCAATGCCTGTAACCCCAGCTACTTGGGAGGCAATGCTGCTTGACTCCTAGGTGGTCCATTGTGTGCAAAGTGTGCAAGCCTGCAGCTATTGCAGTTTTGTTGCTGTAAAAGATGATGGTTCCCACTTTTGGGCATTTACCCAAACGATTACAAACAAGGGTATACCAAAGCTATCAGCACAACCGTTTATCACAGTATTATTTACCATAGCTTAAATATGGAACCAACCCAGATGCCCCTCAGTAGATGAATGGATCAGGAAAATGTGATAGATCTATATGCTGGAATTCTACGCCTCCATCAGAAAGAATGACATTACCCCATTTGTTAGGAAATGGAAAGACTTGGAAAAAAATATATTAAGTGAAGTAAGCCAGGCCCAAAGAAACATGGGTCCCATGGTTTCCCTTATTTGCAATAACTCGTATATGTCTAGGACGAGCAGAAAAGTTAAAAAGTTATGTATATATAACCATATAAGATGATGTTAAGCAAAATGAACCCTAAGATAGGAACACAAGTGGTTTTTTTCTTTCTTGCTGTTATTTTTAACATATTTATGATGTACTATGTGATTTTTTTTTTTTTTGTTTCTTTTGTATGTTCTTCTCCCATGGTATAACCCCTGTTTTCACTGTATTTGATTCCAGTGCCCTGCATCTTGTATATACTTTTTTCTAATTTGGGGAGGGGAAGAGAACTAACAAAATGCTGAAATAAGGATACAGGCTGACCTACTGTAACAATGAGATGTACAAGACACTATGTTGAAAACAAACTTTAGAACTTGGTTGGGGGAGGAGTTGGGGAGGTGGGGAGGAAAGGGCTATTAAGGGTAAAACAAAGGAGGAGGTAATAATGCTTCATAGGAAATGTACTCATTACCTTACTTGTGTAACTGTAGCCCCTCTGTACAGTATTTTTTTTTTTTTTTGGGTCTGGTTGTGGGGCCTGAACTCTGGGCCTGGGCGCTGTCCCTCAGCTCTTCAGCTCAAGGCTAGTGCTCTACCACTTGAGCCACAGCACCACTTCTGGCTTTTTTCCTTTTGCTTATGTGGTGCTGAGGAATCGAACCCAGGGCCTCAGGCATGCAAGGCAAGCGCTCTACCACTGAGCCACCTTCCCAGCCCTCTGTACAGTATTTTTAAAATAAAAAACATTAAAAAAAAAAAATGATGGTAAGAATAACTGCACTCTGTCCTGTCTACCCTGAAGCCACTTCTGAGTGGATCCAGTTTTTTAAAGAAGCCGGCATTCCCCCGGGCCCTGCTGTGAATTACGCTGTGATGTTTGTGGATAACAGGTGAAGCAAATGAAGGGACAAGTGAGCTTGGGCGGGGGGAGGCGGAGCTGGCCCGTCCCCGCCCACCTTCCCCTTCCATGCAGGATCCAGAAGAGCATGCTGCTGGACCTCAACAAGGAGATCATGAACGAGCTGGGCGTGACGGTTGTAGGGGACATCATCGCCATCCTCAAGCACGCCAAGGTGGTGCACCGCCAGGTGGGTGTGCTGCTGCAGAGCCAGCAGGAGACCTGGTGGCAAAGGCAGGTCAGCCTGGGTGCCAAGGCTGGGTCAGCTGTTTGCTGTATGCCACAGGCATGTCACCTCACCTCTGTGACTTATTTTCTCTGTTCAGCGAGCATGTCTATTGTGAAAGGTGTTTTTGAGTATTAAGTGGACAGGCACAGGCAAAACTGCTAGAATCTGGCCTCAAGAAACGTTCTCTGTAATTATGATCATTGCTGACTCTTATTTTCCTCATTCTGATTGTCACCTGCCTTCCTGGCCTTCTCTGTCTCCAGGCAGGAGTTTGTGCTGTGGGACTGGGGTGACATCCTGGCCCTTCCAGTATGGCTTCTCCACTTGTCATAGTGACCCACCTCCCCACACCTCTGAATAGGCTGCACACCCTGCATCGGGTGCTGGTGTCTCTACCAGAGATTATGTGGCCTGGAGGGAGGTCCTTACTGAGTACCGGCGAGGTATGGGGTGCTATCTCTATCCATTGCACACACGAACTCCTTGACCCCTTAGGACTCCGCTGGCCCCAGCAAGAGACTTGCTGCAGAGCTGAGCTCTCAGGACCCTGCTTTATCCCTATACGGTTTCTGATTCCTTCTAGTAGCTTCTTCTAGCTCAGGCTCAGGCCTTGAGCTGTCCATCCTATGGACAGGATTCCTCAGTAATGCTTCCTCAAAGAGGGATATTAGCTCAGTGGAAAGGGCAATGTGCTAAACATTCTTTTTTTCTGTAAGCTTTTTGTTTTTAATTTTTTTGTTTGTTTGTTTATTTATTTGTTGGTCATGGGGCCTGAACTCTGGGCCTGGATGCTGTCCCTCAGCTTTTCAGCTGAATCAGCTGAAGGATAGCACTCTACCACTTGAGCCACAGCGCCACTTCTGGCCTTTTCTGCTTATGTGGTTCTGAGGAATCGAACCCAGGGCCTCATGCATGCAAGGCAAGCGCTCTACCACTGAGCCACCTTCCCAGCCTCTCATTTTTAATTTTTTGTGGTAAGCATGCTGGGGCTAGAACTCAGGGCCTCCTACATACTGAGCAAGTGCTCTACCAACGAACTCCTTTCCCGGCCTCCTGTTTGTATTTTAAACTTTTACACTTGGGATTGTGTGTGTGTGTGTGTGTGTGTGTGTGTGTGTGTGTGTGTGTGTGTGTTTTCCTGGAGCTTGAACTCAAGGCCTGAGTGCTATCCATGAACTTTTTCACTCAAGGCTGGCGCTCTACCACTTGATCCACAGTTCCACTTCCAGCTTTTTTGGTAGTTAATTGGAAGTAAGAGGCACAGATTTTCCTTGCCTGGGCTGGCTTTGAATCAGGATTCAAAGTATTTTCATTGTCCTTTCCTTGTTTCAATCGTCTTGACCATTTTGGTTTTAGGGATGGAGACCAAACCCAGGGCTCTGAGATTGCTAGGCAGGCTCTCTGCCACTGGCTGCCTTGACAGTTGTTTGTTTTTTTTTGTTGTTGTTGTTGTTCCCCACGTGCCCTCTCCTCCCCCCAATGGCCTGGGCACTGTCCCTGAGCTTTTGTGCTCAAGGCTAATACTCTACTACTTTGAGCCATAGCTCTACTTCTACTTTTCTGGTGGTTAATTAGAGATAAGAGTCCCATGGAGCTGGGCACTGGTGGCTCATGCCTGTAATCCTAACTACTCAGGAGGCTGAGATCTGAGGATTGCAGTTCAAAGCCAGCCCTGGCAGGGAAATCCATGAGACTCTTATCTCCAATGAACCACCAGAAAACTGGAAGTGGAGCTGTGGCTCAAAGTGGTAGAGTGCTGGCCTTGAGCAAAAGAGCTCAGGCATAGTGCCCAGGCCCTGAGTTCAAGCCCTATGACCACCACCAACAAAAATTAATCTCTTGCACTCTCCTGTGCAGGCTGGCTTCAAACCATGATCCTCAGATCTCAGCCTCCTGACTAGTTAGGATTATAAGGATGAACCACCATTGCCCTGCCCCTTGACAGTTTTAAAGTTCTGCTCAAATATTTCAGGAACCATCCCTTTGTTTCTGGGTACGTGATACTTTCCTCTGGTCAGGAGCAAGATGGTTCATGCCTGTAATCCCTGCCCTCAGGAGGTGGAGGCCAGCCAGGCTGCATAGCAAGTTTGAGGTTAGGCTGGGCTATTCACTGCGACCTCCGATCTCATCTCCAAAAAACAAAATGGGTCAATGCTGCTTCTTTGGTGTTGAATTTCTGACCCTCCAACTGCTGCCCAGATCTCCAGTCCCCATTCCTCTGGCTGACTCTATTCCTATTTTTCATAGGACGTATGCAAAGCTGCCACGGAGTCGGTGCCCTGCAATCCCAGCTCCCTCTCAGGCGAGCTTCGCCGTGCTGCCTCTAGCGGTGAGTGTTGTATGCCCAGAACCACCTCTTCACCGCCCTGGCAGGAACAGGGAAGGCACTTTTGTTTGTCCCATCCTGTGGTTTGCACAGGTAGAAACAAAGCCACCTGAGGCCCTCCTTCCCAGGGAGACAGTAGACTGGGCAGCAAGTAGCCATTGTCTGTCATCTGTCTGTCTGTTTCTGTACTGAAGATTGAACTCAGGGCTTTGCGCTCACTCCTAATCCATGTGTATGTTTTTTTTGGGGGGGGTCATGGGGCTTGAACTCGGCCTGGGGGCTGTCCCTGAGCTCTTCAGCTCAAGGCTAGCGCTCTATCACTTGAGCCACAGTAGTGGTTTATTGGGGATAAGAGTCTCACAGTCTTTCCTGCCCGGGCTGGCTTTGGGCTGGCTTTGAACTGTGATCCTCAGATCTCAGCCTCCTGAGTAGCTAGGATTACAGGTGTGAGCCACCAGCGCCTGGCCATGTGCTTGTTTTTGTGCCAGTTCTGAGGCTTGAACTCAGGATCTGTCCCTGAGCTTTTTTGCTCAAGGCTGGTGTTCTGCCACTTGAGCCACAGCTCCACTTCTGACTTTTTTGGTGGTTCATTGAAGATAAGAGTCTCATGGACTTCCTTGCCCAGGCTGGGCTTCAAACTTCTATTCTTAGATCTCAACCTCCTGAATAGCTAGGATTATAGGTGTGAGTCACTAGCACCTGGCTTTTAAAAAATCATTTTTCGAGATGGGGTATCTTGTTGTGTAGCCCAGGCTGGTCTTAAACTCTTAACCACAAATGACCCTCCTACTTCAGACTCCTCAGTAGCTGGTACTACAGGTGCTCACCACTATGCCTGGCAAAACTGTGGTTATAAACACAGACATTTATTCCTTATGATTTTATGGGTTGGCTGGTTATTTGGGCTCAGAGCCAGCTCAATGGATCCCAGTGGTACCATGGCAGCTGAATTAAGGTTGGATGATCAATGATGGCTCCATTCACAGGTCTGGTAACTTTGTTATTTGGGCTTACAGAGGTGACTTGGCCAGTGCCACTTGTTGCACAGCAGGCTAGCCCAGGCATATGCCCACTGCAGTGGTCTCCGTAACAGCAGGCCCCAGTGCTCAAAGCCCCTTGCATAGTATTTGCTCTTTTTTAATTGTCAAGAAAAGTCATGTGGCTGAGCTCCATCTGTGTGGGCTGGAGCGACCCAAAGGCATGGATGTGGGGAAATGGAGCCAATCAGGGCTCATTTCCACAGCATCCATAGCACAGCCCCAGGAAAGGATTCCACTATGGTGAATGGCTTTCCAGACATAGGACACTCCATGCAGCCCCATGCTCACTGACCCCAAGTTCCAGTTCTTCCTCCTGGGAGCACACCCAATCAGCATTGCTATCCTTCCCTGCAGCTGCCTCCCGAATGATCGCCAACAGCCTGAACCGAGACTCCCCGCCCAGCACTCCCCCCAGGCGGCCAGACACCAGCACCTCCAAGATCTCTGTCACTGTGTCTAACAAGATGGCTGCAAAGGGTGCCAAGGCTGCCGGTGAGGAGGCAGGCTGTGGGGGAGGGGCTGGAGAATATAGATGCAAAGGTTTTGATGGTGGGGGTCATGTTCCCCATACCCTAGATGTGTAGAGCATGTGGGCCTGAATTGCCTCTGAATTCGGCCATCATCTCCACCCTGGGAGCCTCCCTGGTGGTTCAGGAAGACACAGAGGTCTTTTTGAGACCGGCTCTCATTCTGTAGCCCAGGCCAGCCTTGAATTCTCCATCCTTCTACGTCAGCCGCAGGAGAGCTGGGGTTTCACATTGTGCGCCACTACACCTGGCCACTCAGTCTTTTTTTTTAAAAATCAGGTGTTCCCTGAGTTCCCACTGGTGTTTGATGCCTGGGGACAAAGGTAAAGAACCCACCATCTCTCAGCAGCCAGAAGGGTCCTTGTAGACCTCCAGTCTGACCCCCTAGGGGTTCCTCTTAGTTGGATAATGAGGCCCAGCCTTCCCCACAGGGCCCCTGGAGCCTCCATCGCCTGCATCTCTTCCTCTTGACCACTAGCTCAGTGTGCCTCCCAGTCCTCAGTGTGGGCCTTCATCTGGAAACTCCTACCTGCCTGGATTTCTCCATGGCTGGTTTTTGTTCCTGTGCCCTGTCTCATTCTAAAAGTTGGGAGCCTTTCTAGCCCCCATCTCCAGCATACTCTGGCTTTCTTTGTCAGCTCATCATGATGGTCTAATGCATATGTAGAAACTGAGGCCTGGGGGTAGGGGGGAGCTTCATTTTTCTAATGTCCTGTGTTCTCATATGACACCCCCTGTCATTGCTTGTGTGTCTGGAAGAGCCCCACCCCTTCTGGCCTTTGATTAGTGTGCCATGAACTAGAAAGTTCAATTAGCAACTATGGCACTGAAACAATGGTGATCAAGAGGGACTGGCCTTTTCATCCCTTGACACTTGAAGGAATTAATTTTTTCTTGGTACCAGTACTCTTGAACTCAGGGCCTGGGCTCCGCTCCTTAGATTTTTTTGCTTAAGGCTGGTGCTCTACCACTTCTGGATTCTTGGTGGCCAATTGGAGATAAGAGTCTCATGGAAGCCAGGCCTGTAATCTTTAGCTGCTCAGGAGGCTGAGATATGAAGATCATGGTTCAAGGCCAACCCAGGTAGGAAAGTCTGTGAGACTCTTTGCTCCAATTAACCACCAAAAAACTGGAAGTGCCATTGTGGCTCAAAGTAGTAGAGCGTTAGCATTGAGCAAAAGAGCTCAGGGACAGTGTCCAGGCCCTGAATTCAAGCCCCATGACTGACAAAAAATAAAAGTAAGAGTCTCAGACTTTTCTGCTGGACTGGCTTTGAATGTGATCCTCATATCTCAGCCTCCTGAATAGGATTATAAGTGTGAATCACTGATGCCCATCCTGGAATTTTGTGTGTATGCCAATATCTGGCATTGTACCACTTGAGTCATGCCTCCAGTCTGCTATTTTGCTACTTAATTGGAGATGGAATTACAATAAGTTTTCTGCCCTTGCTGGCTTCCACAAGTAGTCCCCCAGGTCTCCTCCTGAGTAACTAGGATAATAGGAGTGAGCCACTGTGCCCGGCTTGTTTAATTGGGCTACCAGATGTGGTAGCCCAAGTCTGTAATCCCAGCCTTGAGTCTGAAATGTCCCAGGCTAGTCTGGGATCGCAGTTAGTTCAAGGACAGACTGGGCTGAAAAACAAGCAAGCCCGGGGCTGGGAAGGTGGCTCAGTGGTAGAGCGCTTGCCTTGCATGCTTGAGGCCCTGGGTTCGATTCCTCAGCACCACATAAGCAAAAAGAAAAAAGCCGGAAGTGGTGCTGTGGCTCAAGTGGTAGAGCGCTAGCCTTGAGCTGAAGAGCTGAGGGACAGCACCCAGGCCCAGAGTTCAGGCCCCACGACCGGACCCAAAAATAAAACACAAAAAAACAAGCAAGCCTTTTGCTATTACAAAGAAAAGGGCACCTTCTGCCTGGCAGCAGCTATTAAGTAGGCTGGGGCAGGGGAGTCTAGTAAAAAAACCATAATTTATAGTTTACTTTTTCACTCTGGATAGTCTTTTTTTTTTTCTTCTCTTTTTTCTGGTAGGGGAAATAAACCCAGGATGTTGCACTTGCTAGGCAAGTGCTTTGCCAGTTACATGCCAACCACTGTAATTTCCAAATAGAAATAATTCAGCTTGATTACTTGTTAAAAAGTGAGCATTTAAAAGAGAGAGAATGGGAGAGAAAGCGAAGAAAAAAAAGTGTAGCTGTGAAAGTGGTACCTGTGGTGTTCTAGAACCTTCCCACTATCCAGTGGGTTCCTTGTGTAAAGAGATTAGGCTGGAGACCCTGGTGGGCCACAGAGAGCCTGAGATCCCCAGAGCTTCCTGTGACCTCATCCAGGCCTGGGAGCTCCTGGCTATGTCAGAGCTGTAGGATAAGGGGTTCCGGTCAGGCACGGGTAGAGATGAAGGGCAGCAGTGTGCCCTCTGCCAGTGCCAGGAGAGCGGCCTATCCCGGTGGGTGCTGACCCTGTCCGTGTCTCCCCACCGCAGCTCTGGCCCGCAGGGAGGACGAGAGCCTGGCTATTCCTGCCAAGAGGCGCCGGGTCACTGCGGAGATGGAGGGGAAGTACATCATCAACATGCCCAAAGGCACCACCCCCCGCACCCGCAAGATCCTGGAGCAGCAGCAGGCCGCCAAAGGTACTGGCCTGGGGTGCACATGGCATTGTGCGCATGCCCAGGGCACGCTGGCTGGCATTGCAGATGGCTCTTCCACCCCTCGTTCCTGAGGGCGGGGCATGGAGTCTGGGAAGGCTTTCATTTTTATGCCAGTTGTGGGGCTTAAAGTCAAGGCCTGTCACTTGCTCACAGCCGTCTCTACTCCCTGAGCCACACCTCTAGCTTTTTGCTGGTTATGTGGAGATGGCGTTTCTTGGACTTTATTGCCTGGATGAGCTTTGAACTACGATCCACCCGTTCTCAGTCTGAAGAGTAGTTAGTTAGGATCACAGGCATAAGCCACCAGTGCCCAGCAAGATTTGTGTTTTACTTAGGGAAAGCACTCATGATCAGATCCTCAGAGGCTGTGTCCCCAATGTAAAAGGAGTAGGAGGGGCTGGGATGATGGCTCAGCGGTAGAGTGCTTGACTCCCATGCATGAGGCCCTGAGTTCGATTCCTCAGCACCACGTAAACAGAAAAGCGGAAGTGGTGCTTGGCTCAAGTGGTAGAGCACTGCCTTGAGCTGAAGAGCTCAGAGATAGGGCCCAGGCCCAGAGTTAAAAAAAAGCCCCACGACCGACCAAAAAAAAAAAGGAGTAGGATTAAGAACCCTCACCCCCATTTCATGAACTTGTACTAAGGTACAGGGAATTTTCAGTGTCAATTTGAGTTGATCTTTGGCATTTGACATTTGCCAGTGAGGAGGCAAAACCTGACCATCCCTGCTGGGGCTGAGTGACCGGTGTCGGTGCCAGCTGTGCCATCCCTTAGTATCTGCACCTGGGACCCCAAGAAGGGCTCACAGTGCTCCCTGATAGTTTCATTCTCTTCCCAGGTCTCCATAGGACATCTGTGTTCGACCGCCTTGGAGCTGAGACCAAGGCAGACACGACCACAGGGAGTAAGGTGAGTGGCATGGAGAAGTGACTGCCCTGGACATCTCTGCCCTCTTCCTGCACCTGCCCTGGCCCATCTCCCAGCCCCACTTCTCTTCATTGCTCTGGTGGCTTTCCTGGCTCTCTGATCACTACTAGGTTTGCTCTCTGCAGCTACCCCTTTCCTGGGGCCCAGCCTAGGGTGCCCACCTTCCCACACCAATTCCTGAGTCCGAGGATTCCATGTCCAGCTCCTCCACCACCCTCCCTCCTTGGAGAGGGCGGTGACCTCCTGATCAATCCCCACAGCTGTCACACCACTGCAGGAGCATGTGCTGTAGTGGACAGCTGTCCTCCTCCCCCTCAGAGACCCAAGGCTTTTCTGTGCCTACCATGAAATTCACACTTCTTGCTGGGGCCCCCGAGCCCACTGGCTGTCTGGGTGACCATGGTCAGGCACTTAAGCCCTTATGCCTATTTCCTCAGATCAGGCAGGTACATGTGAGAGGGGGCATCTTGGGGGTGGTAAGCGCATCTTAGATGCTACCTTTGAGGGACTCTATAGAATATTTCCTTCCTGCCAATCACCAGCGCACGCTCTGCCTCTGTCCCGCCTCCCACAGTGACATGTGGAAGCACTCAGGGGATGGACTGTGTCCTAGTGAGTAGTGATTCCCCTGGAGGGCCTGGCCGTCCCTTTCTTCCCTGTCTCCCACCCTCAGATCTCTCTCTGTTCACACTCCTTGAAGAATACACCGCTGTCTGACAGAAGCACTGGTGGTGTCGTGTCTGGTTCCATGCCTGACTCCCTACTGGACTGTAAGCCCATGAGGGCAGGCTAAGGCCGTCCTGGCCATCTCTAGGTCTCTAGCCTGCCCAGCCTAGGACAGGGTGCAAAGTCAGGCTCACCAGATGGCCGAAGGCATCTTTGTCTCTGTGCTGTCCTACAGACCTGGCCGCTGTCTTCCCTCTGAGTGGCACATGCTGTCCCCCCATGCCCACATGAGCCCACTTCCTCTGGCTCTCAGAGCTCAGTAGCTGTGTTCTTTGTCAGGGAACCTTGCTTGCTGCCAGGCCAGCTCCCTGAGTCCCCCATCACGGTCCTCACCACTGTCTCAGTTGTCACCCATGGCTGTTTCCCCTCCACTTGCCCCCTGTGTGGAGGAGGAGGTGGTAGGTTGAGTGACTTGGGCCTCTCTGATGTCAGCCCACAGGAGTTTTCAGCCGCCTGGGGGCCACCCCAGAGATGGATGATGATCTGGCCTGGGACAGCGACAATGACAGCAGCAGCTCTGTCTTGCAGTATGCTGGGGTCCTGAAGAAGCTGGGGCGGGGCCCAGTGAAGGCCAGTCCCCAGCCAGTCCTGCCGGTCAAAGCCAAGGCCACAAGCTCCAAGGCAACAGTACCCACTGCCCCAACGCTGCGGCGCCTGGCGCTCTCCTCACCTCCCAGGCTCGAGAAGAAGTCAGAGTCCCTGGCCAAAGTGAGCATCATCCACAGACTGGGCAAGGCCGCCCCAGTGTCCGAGGCCCAGGACAGCCAAGTCACCAGCACCAAGAGTAAGTCATCAGCCAAGGTGAAGGTCACCATTAAGAGGACTCCGGTGGGGCCCCGGGGAAGCAGTTCCAGTGAGGGCCTTGGTGCCCAGATGGATCACACAGGCACCGTGAGCGTGTTCAAAAGACTGGGCCACAGGACCTTCTAGCCCACGTGGAGGGTGGGAGAGGGGGGCGGGCTTCCCTGTTCCCTCCTCCTGCTGATTCTGGACAACATGGCTGTCGAGTGGCCCCGCTGGGCTGAGCCCTCTGCTCTGGGATAGTCACTGTGGCTGGACCTCACCTGCTCTGGGATGGCCCCTTCTCTCCTGCCCTCTGCCCTCCCCCATGGCCTTGGCAAGACCCTGCTTTTCTACCTCTCCCTAGCGCCCTCCCCTCTCAGCTGCCCCAAACTCCCTCTCCCTATTCCTCGTCCACAGAGACATCACCCTAAGGTCCCCTCATATCCCCCCCACTTACTTCCCTTACCCCCCCCCCCCCCCAGCCACTCTAGCCTCCCTTCCTCCCTTCACTCTTTCATTTCTCTTCTGTTTTCTGTCCCGGTGGCAAGGCCCGACTCTCCGCTGCATCCTGCCCGACCCTCCTGTGCCTCCGGCCTCTCAGCGACCCCCTCGCCGACGCTGGCGTTGAGCCTGTCGAGACTCTTAGCTGTCCCTGGGCTGCTGTGGGGTACCTGGGTGTGTTTTCCTCTCTCAAAAGCCCTGCCCGGGACTGGTGGGCAAGGGGGTATCACAGGGGAGACTGATCGGAGAGAGAAGACAATGGCGTTTTAATATATTTTTTGTGAGTTCCCATCTGTTTCCCTCCCCTCCTTGGGGTGAGAGGCAGGTCAGGTTTTCACACCAACACAGTGCTGGGGTTGCAGGGGCGGGGCGGGGGGTGTCACTGGCCAAGTGACGGGGCTCGATCCCGAAAAGCTGAGTTCCTGCACACACTCAGGCCCCATCTCCATTCTGTTAAGCCACCTCCTCCCCCTACAAACAGAGCTGTCACTCTGCCACCTCCCATCCTGTTTCTGTCACTCTGCCTGTTGTTCCTACCTGGGCTCCATTTGTGAGCACTGATGGGTCCAATCTCGCTCCTTGCTCTCAGCAGCCACACTTCTGTCATAGAGACTGCCATGGGCAGGGCAGGCCAGGCTTCCCCCCCCCCCCCGCCTCCCCCACCCCCACCCCGGTTGGAACTCTGTCCTCTTTAGTGAGGGAGAGGGTGTCTGTGAGGATGTGGTCCATAGAAACTGGCTAGGGCACTGCAGGGGTGAGGTGGGAGAAGGCTCAGAGGAGGTGACACAAGCAGTTTTGCAAAGTCCAGAATATGCTGGCACAGGGAGGGCTGGGACAAAGGCCTTGGGCAGGGGGACAAAGAGCATGAAGAAGGCTGGCCTACAAGTACAAGCCTTCAGTTCTTTCAGGTTAGGCTGGTGGACTGAAGCTCTGACGGCCTGGGATGGCTCTATGTCCAGTGTTGGAGAGCTCCCATCTCAACCAATAAAAGCTGGGTATGGTGGTGCCTGCCTGTCATCCCTGTTATGGTGGCCCAGGCATAAGCCAGGGATCCTATTTGAAAAGTCTAAAAGCCTGAGAACATGTCTCAAGTGGCAGAGCACCTGCCTGAAAAGCTTAAGACTGTTAAGTTCAAATCCAACTACCTCAAAAAAAAAAAAAAAAAAATCAGGCTAGGCATGTCTATAATCCTAGCTTCTTAGGAGGTTGAGATCTGAGGATTGAGGTTCAAAGCCAGCCTGGGCAGGAAAGTGTATGAGGAGACTCTTATCTCTAAAAAACTACTCAGAAAAAGCTGGCAGTGGTGCTGTGGCTCAAGTGGTATAGTGCTAGCCTTGAACAAAGGAAGCTCAGGGACAGTGCCCAGTCCCTGAGTTCAAACCCTAGCACCAGCATCAGAAAAATACAGATAGATAAATAAATAAATAATTAGGCTAAGTGTTGGTGGCTCACGCCTATAATCCTAGTTCAAAGGTTCAAAGCCAGCCTGCACAGGAAAGTCCATGAGATTCTTAAATCCAAAGAACCACAAAAAGGCTGAAAGTGGAGGTATGGCTCAAGTGGCAGAGCACTAGCCTTGAGCAAGAAAACCTTAGAGACAGTGTTCAGTCCTAGAGTTCAGACCCAGACCTGGCAGGAAAAAAAAATCTGAATACAAAAAAATCACTTTTTTTAAAACTTAATTTTAAAGTGAAGGAAAACTTAGAGAAGTGAGAGAAGCAGCACCAGAGATTCAGTATGCTCTTTACTCAACTTGCTACTTGTTTATAACTTATTCCACCATGCGCTTAACCCCTGCTTCCCCCACCTCCAGGAGACATACCTGTCCATCCTGCTTATGTGTACATTGGGTTTTTTTGGCACATCTCAGAGTTCACTTGGAGAACTTCGTGCCCCCTTTGCCTTAGAGTACTTCAGTGTGCAGCCCTAAGGACAAGAGCATCTCTTTCATAAGTACAGTATAACTATCAAAATCAAGAATCGAGGCTGGGCATGGTGACCCATCCCTATAATTCCAGCTATTGGGGAGGTGGGAAGTGAGAAAACTACACTCTGAGGCTAGCCCTGGGCAAACCTATCATCGTAGCTACTCAGGAGTCTGAGATCTAAGGATCTCAGTTCAAAGCTAGCCCAAGAAGGAAAGTCCTTGAGACTTTTATCTCCAATGAAACACACGCACACATACACACACACACACACACACACACACACACAGCTCAAGGACAGTGCTCAGGCCATGAGTTCAAGCTCTAGGACTGACACAAAAAGAAAAGGGGGTGCAAATTGGGTTGCCCTTAGAATGCATGAGGCCTTGGATTTGATCTCCAAGCACTGCAGAAAAAAATAAAAATAAAACAACAAGGAAGCATTGGAGACATGAATGGACATGTTACATTGTAAATCTCAGAACAACCATTTGGAGTTGAAGAGAAGCAAGAAATTTAAAATGGAAACAATCTACAACTCATGTTGCAATTTGTTTCAGTTGTCCTAATAATTGTTCCTGATTGTTACTCCCCCTGAGGCCTCACTGAAAATCCAGTTGAAAATCATGTGTTTTTCTGTTTTTGTTTTGATCCGGGAGTTTCACTGTTTAGCACCAAGCTGACCTTGAACTCATTGTCTTTCAATCTCAGACTCTTGAATGCTGGGATTATGGGCTAGTGTCACTACAGCTGATTCATTTGTGGCATTAAGGTGACATAAAAGCTTGCTTTTGTACCATGAGTGTTAATGTAACAGCACAAATATCCTCCAAATTGCTCAGAAATTGAAGAGACAGCTGAGTTCCAGCTGCATGGCCAGCTCATGTGGCTCCATCTTGTGGCAAGATCATGAATAGAGTTAAGACCTTGCCCCATTAGGTAGCAGTGAAATTGTACTATAAATATCTCATTTTTTTTTCTTGATAATATGGACACTATGTTTTAAGAATGTGACTTTGATAAGGTTAAAGCTCCGTCTTGATCTGATCTTCATTACAGGCCTGAACTTGTCTACTAACGAAAGATTGAACAAATAAAATAATGTCCTACCTTCATTATGTATCCCACACAGTGCAGGGTCTATGTTCACAACCTTGTTAAAAGTTGCTTCGGGCAGGGACAGATCTCTTTAACCGCTTCTCTGTAAAGAGTGGGCGATGTTGCAAAGCAGTTCAACCACAAGTCTAACTATTCCAGTCTAGATCTCTTTCTGAACCCCAAGAGATCTCCAAATGAGAGAAAGTCTCAGCTATCTTGTTCTGAAAGAGAGAGCTTTCCCTCCAAACTCCTTCCTCCCAAATCTGAACAAGCAACTCTGGGGGTACAGCTTTCAAATCCAACCTCCGTACTCTTCCCCTTCTTGCCAGGGAGCCTAAGATGTATCTCTTCTTCCTTGGAGGGAAAGAACTTCAAGTAAAGTAATCCAAGAGGGTTCTGGGGCCTTCCCAATAGCTAGCTATTAAGTGTGAGCCACCATGCCTGGTTTGTTGATGGAGATGAGGTCTTGCTAACTTTTTTGCCCAGCTTCAAAGGGGGAAATGGTTAAATATTCCTCAACAATCCCCACTCTGTGTAGGATCTTTGTGGGGTAGTGCTGGATACTCATTGATGACTGAGTCCTGGTCTCCTTCCAAAAAGGACCCTTTGTGCCCAGGGAAACAGATTTGTCACCAAACAATACTCTAAAATGGTTAGGGATGTGAAAGTAGACACTGGGCAGAGTTACCAATACTGTTTGATGTGGAAAGACTATAAATTAGGAGTACAGAGTTGTGCCTTACTTATCAATATAGGGCAGTGTATTAAGGACTGTTTTCAGCATTGAATAGTTTATTTTGGGGAAAACTAAGGCCCATCCTTGAACAGGACTTGCCAAGAACCTGAGAACTTGTTAGTCTTGGGCTTGAACATAGGGCTTGGGCTTTGTCCCTGAGCTTTTCTGCTCATCTACCACTGAGACACAGCTACACTTCTGGTTTTCTGGTGGTCCTCTGGAGAAAAGAGAACATCATGGGGATGTTCTCTGCCCCGCTGGCTTTGAACCATGATCATCAGATCTCAGTCTCCTGAGTAGCTAGGGTTACAGGTGTGAGCCACCGGCACCCAGAAGGATTCAACTCTTAACCAGTCATTTTTCTCCCCAGTATGTATTTGCCAAGCTTCCTAGCATACTGTAATCCTAAGTTTAGTAGGTAGCAGTCACCTCCCAACCTGTGAAAGAAAAAGAAAGGGACTGGAAGCCAGATGCTGCACAGCTCTCTAGAACCCTAGTTAATACATGAGTCAGCCAGAATCTCTGTAAAGCTTTTTTTCCTTTCTTTTGATTTTTTTTGAGACAGGGTCTTGCTACATGGAGCTCAGGATGGCATTGAACTCACAATCCTCCTGTCTCCCCTCCCTAGTGCTGGGATTACAAGTATGTTCCATGCCCTTCAGGCTTCTAAAGCTTTTTGTGAGGGAGGGCAATTATTTTTTTTGGGGGGGGGGGGTGGGGAGGTTGGTCATAGGGCTTGAACTCAGGGCCTGAGTGCTGTCCCTAAGCTCTTGCTCAAGGCTAGTGCTCTTACCATGTTTTTAGCTACAGTGCCACTTCCGGTGTTCTGGTGATTAATTATGGAGTCTCAAGGACTTTTTTTCCTTCCTGGGCTGGCTTTGAACTGTGATCCTCACATCTCAGCCTCCTGAGTAGCTGGGATGACAGGCCTGAGACACAGGCACCTGGCTGTGAAGGAAATCATTACTAAAGCATCTGTGGGCCCAAGTTGCTGCAGATTTTCTTGGCATTCTGTAAGGTTTTAGGCAAGGAAAGAACACGCAGGAGGAGGTAAATGTGAAGAAAAGGAAAGCTTATTGGAGTATGCTCCTGGGCAAACTCCCTGGTCGGGATTAGAAAGGTCACCCAGAGTCTGGTTGTAGCAGGGTTATTTGGCCGGGGTCAGCAGGAAATTTTAGCACATAACTTGTTTTGCGAGTTTGAACAGTTTCGGGCTAGTGCCCCTGAAGGACAGGACGATTGGGACGGTGGTGTATAATTGGGACAGGTGGTATGTAAGGAAGTGGCTTTTTCTCAGCTTCCTCTGCCCTCCAGTGACCTGTCACATTCGCATTTTGGACTCGTAGACTGTCGTTCTGATAAAAACATTCTGTTTCCAAGACATCGTTCACGGTTTCTAATTTACAGCTAGGTATACTGAGGCTCAGAAAGTGGGTTCGTGGTCATCCATAAGGATGAAATTCAAATCTGATAATAGTGCGGCTTCACAGCCTAAGCTTAAGACAGGCCACCACACTGAAAAAGAAACCCCTGTCAGCGGGGCACTGGTGGCTAACCCCTGTCATCCTAGCTACTAAGTTGGCTGAGATCTAAAGATCGCGGTTCGATGCCAGCCTGTGCAGGAAAGTTGGTGTGAGACTCCTATCTCCAGTTAACCAGCATCAAGCTGGAAATAGAGCTGGAAATGGTTCAAGTGGTAGAGTGCTAGCCTTGAGCAAAAAAGCACAAGGGAGGACCCAAGCCCTGAGTTCAAACGCGCACGCGCCCCGCGCACACACACACAGAGAAAGAAACAAGCCCTTCCCAACTCCCCAGGACACACACACACACACAGAAGCCCAGGAGACACAC